AACCGCGCACATCGAGTATCCATCATAAACATATGGAAAAGGATTAACTAGTACACACCAAAAAAATGGTATCTCTTTCAGGAGCAGCAGGGCAAATGGGATACAAGAAAGCAACATCACAAGATATTAGTCCTGCATCATAAAAGCATTACAATTAGATAATTAGGATGGAATATCTCAAAACTTTGCTAGGCAAATGGAAATAGTAAGCTCTTTGATACGATGATAGATAAACCTCTACTGGGTGCCTAACTGAATAGTTAATGTTGACCCTTGTTTAAGATAAGATGCTTAAGATAAACCCGCAAGCCCCTTCAGTGAAGACATGCAAAAATATTAACTTCTGACCACAACAACTAATTTAGCACAAAGATATTAGATTTCAGAAACATATATTATAAAAAGGCACCATAAACAATTGCAATTTGATAAGCAAAGCCTACAGTACTAAAAAAATCCTACTCTCAAAATTATTTTCTAAACATCTATTGCATTTAATTTTCCCTTTGTTATTCAATGACAATAAAGAGTCCACATACACAATGGAAGAAGTGCTCGAGAATTATTTTTGACTTAGTTCAAGTATAGCTTGCATTACTGACATAAAAAAGGAAGGCTTGCATTAAAATCAATGTAATTGAAGTGAATCACAAAGATATCAGTCATTCTTGAGCAATAAGGCCTGACCAAAAGAAAAACAAAAAACAATAATCTATTCAATGGCAACCAGGAGGACCAAGGAAGTAACTAATGGACCAACTAAACACATTTATCAGATTTTTACTACAGATAGGTAGCTATCTTGTTATCGACGACGTTCATATTCAGAAGCTCTTTGGCAATTATCAACAATGTTGAAGAGCAGCTTGCCGCTTGTTACTTGTTCCACAGATGTTGAAAAAGCAGTAACACAAAGGAAGATTGGACAATAGCAATAGAAACATAATTTGAAGCAACATTTATCGAGTTGCCATTTTCTAACTGATTAAGAACTACTTCCATTTAAGCTGCCAATGCAAGGTTACATTGTAGCCAACATGGACTGGTAATGAAGTAAACAAATGACTATACTGGCAGACGTAGCTCATAACTAAAAGGAAACTGCAAGAAAAGTAAGTACTTGAAGAAATTGGAACCACAACAACTCTATATATCAATTGCTTCCTCAGAATGTCTATCAATCATATACTTCCTTTAGATGGACACACGAAAACCACAACAAAGTTCACCCTAGAAGAACAGAGTACAAAGCAAATATAGTCAACAATTTAAAGGTACCACCTACAGTAAACATCATAGCAATAAACACCATACAGAAGCATGACCTTTTATTACAAATAGTGCCTTGTGTGATCTATGATTGAAACTACAACCAGGATAAAGCACAGACATAAACTAAACTATGTAATAAACTGTGTATTCACCATAGTGTTTCCTATAAAGCAAAAGTGTAGGTTGATGTTCTAAATCTTTCATACCATTGATTAGAAGCAATAATACAAACTGATTTTCTAAATCTTTCATACCGTTGATTAGAAGCAATAGTACAATCTGATTTTCTAAATCTTCCATACCATTCGTTAGAATTAATACTACAATCTGATTTTCCAAATCAATAGCTTTTATAACATCTTCACCAATTTCTTGGGACCATTTTCTTCTATAGCACCGTCAAATGTTGATCCTCTATTTGTATATGATTATCCATATCAGAAAGTCTAAATTGAACTTATTCAGTTAGGCTCTAATCGTCCAAATTTCAGCAGTCAATGTTATTAACTTTTCTTATATTGTGTCCCGTGCTCCTAAAGACGACATCCAATC